AATTCTCCATATTTTCCCATGTTAAAGAAGTCTGCACGTCAAGTAAATGCTTCTAAGAAAAGGCTGGAGAAAGAAACTGTCATTTTTTTTGTGTTTTAACGCTAGCTCTTCAGATATTTACAAAAAAACGGAAAACATGAATCAATAAACGAGCATTAGACAAGACACACTGAGTCCTGAGAATAATTGAGAAGCGTACAATAGGAAAATAGCCTTCTCTTCTTTTGAACTAATGCAACGCTAATGTGACGTTCTCTTCTTAGCACCCGCTTTTCCTTTTAGTATTGGGTTTAGTTAAAGTGTATCCTGAAACGTCCGCATAACTTGGCAATTATATTTATTGAACTCTGAAAGAGTCAATCACAGACACTGCTCATTTCTAACATTTGCTCGGGGAGGAAAAATCAACGTATTTTAAAGTTTTCATACAAATAATATATTACTTTCGAGTAGGGACAACATACAATACTCGTCGAATCGTAATAGTGAAATACGCGTCTTGTATACGTGCCTATAATGACCTCTGGGTCTGCGATTTACGTGTCTGTCAATAATGCAATGTAGCTCGATGGCTTTATCAAAAAACCGCTATTACTCGAATTTCACCTTGTTCTGTGACTTTTAAGAGATGGTGCCAAGAGCGTAGGGCGTAATTAATCAATCATGAGATTATTTCACATATTAAGTTAGTATCTCAATTTGACCATTTAGTACGTTTCAATGTTCGGCAATGTTACGATTGTATAGAATTATCAATATTAATCCTTTGTTATTTATCGAGCATGGTCACTGGTGACATTATCGAGAAAATTCTTATTATTACGAATTGTATGAACTTGCAAAATCAATCAATCCGCAAAAAAAGATCCGTCGTATTCATATCCAACGTCTTTTTCTCTTATTTTCCCTCTTTCATATCATCACATGTACTCTCTTTTTTGATCTCACAGTCCGATATTAATTAAGTTTGTTAATTGACAAATCAAAGATTTGCTGTGAAAAATAATTTAATACAAAAAACCAACAAAAATACAAACGAAACCTCTTAAAAATACTTAACACCTAGCCAATACAAAGAAAATGTTTATTAGACTAGGGGGAATCAGAACAACCGCTTTTATAGTTCACTATCCCCTTTCTCTTCTTTCTCCTCTTTGATCTGACATTCAATGTCTTCTAACGAGGATATCCGCCAAAGGATTGCTGTCCATATCCACCATATCCTTGTTGCGAATAAGCCAGTTCATCCTCAACAAGTAATTCCTTAACCTCCCATACGTTCTGTTTACTTCCGACAGAGAATTCCAAATCTTCCTTTGTAATTGAATCCCAATATTTGTATACCATCATCACGGCCAACAGTGTGCAAATGGTTCCAAAGAATAAACCATCAATATAATGCTTAACTGTGTCGCAAATTCTGACGGAGAATATGTATATTGTTACTTGTCCAATGATATAGAAAGTAATGCCAAAGAGGATGTCACCCAACGGCCAACGATCATCGAGAGTCTTGATGACGAGAACGATTTGTAATGCAACGTAGATGACGAGAGCTGCTCCATTGAAGACGTACATTACGATCCAGAGCGCCGTCGGACTTGTATTGTTGAATGGACCGATACTATGGAATGTTGCAATCGCTACAAAATACACTGCGCTAAAGAGTACAATTGATGAAATTCGGATTGACTATATAGTGAGAAAAAGCGAGAATACGTTAGAACATGGAAAAAAAATGTCAAGTCATCAAAATAGTTGGTGATCGTATATAATTCCCATTGTTTAATGCAGTTTTCCTTTCCCTTTTTTTTTTTTTTTCGATACTTTACCCAGAGCGATAATGCAGTACCATCTTCGGCAAACTGGAATCCGACAAATCCATTAAGTAAAAGTATCCAAAACGTTACTGTGGTGAGACCAACGTGTGCCGCTACAAAGTACTGTTGGGGGAAACGAATTAATCAGTCGACGATAACAACTCGAGCAAAAGGCTTCATCTAATTAACCGGTTGACTGAGCGCAAGTGCCTATGATCCGAAATTATTATACTCACAGAGTAAGCATTTGATGCGGTTGGAATGATTCCCGACACCAACAAGAACTCCAGGAATGTAAGCAACATGTAAGAGTAAAAGAACATCACAATCTCCTTTCGACCTATTATTCATCAAACACAATCACAAGATTTAGCCGAATGCTCACGAAACATGCAAACGATGCTGCGAGTCGAGTTCATACTTACCGACAGCAGTATATTTAGATTTGATATGAATAATCATGATAGTCGTCATTATGAGTGCAATCACGTGGATAATAAGAGTAGCTGTATAGAGTAGAGATGTCAACAGACACACATACAAATACACAGACACGCATGAGTAAAGAAGAACTTGAGAAATTATTGTATCGCTCTCGATCTCTGACATGATTTAGTGTGATAGAAGGGGAGCAAGTACTGTTTTCTTTCACTCGACGTTCTTTCATTTCGCTCTCACAGTCGGAAGGGGGGTTTCCTCCTATTTACCTGGTTGAAAGATCAAAGTTCCACCGATTTCGACGTTTCTCGAGTAGCAAGTTGGTTGAATTCCCTGGCTTGTGCCTACCAGAGGACATACCGTGAGGGCAGCTGTCTCGCATATTGAGTTGAAGTCACCGAAATGTGCCATGCTCTTCGGTTTCGGACTAAATTGCCGTTATATTTCTCGAATCAAATCAATGAAAAATCTGCAACGTTGTATAGATATTTATTTTTGGGAAAAGAGCAGCGGACGAGCGTCTTTTTCACTATGCGCTCGAGTGTTAGAACGGGGTCTTTTAAGAATGAAAAAGAGTAGAAAGTGCCCGAGAACCCTTGAATCAAACTTAGTTAAAATAGGCGTAGTCAACTACACGGCCTCTATCTCCTTTTGTACAATGAATTTGAATAAATTCTCATATGGCTTTGCCGATTAATTCATTCTACAAATGTAGTACGGATTGCCATATTGTGAATAAACATATGGAAAATCAGAGAGAATGAGGAAACTTGGTAAACATAATGACCCCTTTGAATGAGAAGCAGTTAATTAGTTTGGAAATGTTATTAGTAATGTTAATATAAGCCTTTCCAGAACAGCCACTGTTGGTTGATTGGATGTGAGAGTGGCGCAAGTGAGGAGCAGGAGGCTGTGTAAACGTCAAAAAACATAAGAATGCAAAACGCAAGAATCTGATGTTTGAAAAGAACGTATACAGCCTTGTACAACAATAGAGGGGGAAAGGAGAGGATATCACGTGTGTAGCTTTTGAACAAAAGAAGGCAATAAGAGAGAGAGAAGAGGCAAAGGCATAGCCAAGAGTTTGATTAGAGAAATACTAACATTGTAGTAGTATTGTAGGAATGATGCAAGCATTAACAATATGAATTATAATTGAGACGTCATATCGTAGATATGTGCATATATATACACAGTACACATACATGAAACGTATAAGAGATGGAGATGGAGAGATGTAGATACGAGATTCTTTTCCAGAAGAACCATTTATCGATTATCCCGCAGGGTCTTTATATCACGTACCCCATGTTTAATAGACAACTCTATTTTACCATCTTATCATCGTGCTTTTAATGCTTGTCTTAATTTGTCGTTCTTTTTCATTACCGTTTCACACAAACATCGTTTCTTCGCTTTGGAAATTAATTTAAACATTTTAATATTAATATCATCTACACCATCACCGCTATTTTCAACTGCAATATCGTCACAATTGTTATTATTGTTATAATTATAATTATTTAATTTATTTATTATTATTATTATTACAATTATTTCAATTCCCCTATTCCCATTCCAGTCATACAGCCATTAATTATTTCCCCCTTCCCCGTCCTCCCCCCAAATGACAACATCCGCATTAATCTACATCCGATCACTCCCTCATCCGATCATTGCTTCATTCATTTAGTATTGTAGATAAACATTGCCGAATATTTGGTCACGTGATAGTAACCTTCTATATAACGGTTAGTATCGGAGGGAGAAGGGAAACGGGAGATGGGGATAATGAGAGTTGGCGAATGTGCGTGTGTGTGTGTGTATGTGTGTATTTGTATGTTATGTGTATCTGTATGTTCTGTGTGTGTATGTCCTGTTTATACGCTATGTGTATGTGTGTGTGATGTTACGTGCGTTATGTTATATGTGTATTAGTATGTGTGATGTGATGCTATCTATCTAAGCTCTGTCTAGTACATATCGACAGCACTATAGACGAAGAGTGAAAAAAAAAAAAAAAAAGAGTATCTATCCCGGATACACTGCATGTAAACTGGATCTTGTTTATCTTTTACATCTTTTTACTATAATAAAATATATACTAATACCATAATATAATCTGCTCGTATTTTGTTCTTTGTGAAATCTATCGTCACTTCAAGACAATGGGTTTCAGTTCAATTGAAGTTTTTTTCTGTGAACACAATGCACATCAACCACATCAACTACATATCAAACACATCATTACATCAAACAGACTTGTAATTTATACTGTGTTCCCACTGCACTTGTCACTCTAACCCTTCTTTGCTCGACAGATCAAATCCTCACTTACCCCAAACGGCAAATTACACACACATCACAACCAGCCCCCCTCATCTACTACTTTACTGCCCCCGTCGAAAGCATCCTCTACTTTTTGTGCTTCGTCAAGAGGCAACAGTTTACCTCGTCTACTCACTCTTCCACTTGTATTATCCCCCTTCCCTATCCCTTCCCAAGTAGCTTATATCTACAAAGGTAGCAAAGGTAAGCCCATCCTAATAGTCGCCTTTCTATACAATACATCTCCGCTAATACAAATATAGAATCGTCGCAACTACTCTAGTACATACTCGGTCGCGTCCTCATCTACTCACTTGCAACTTTGATACCTTCTTATCATCCTATCAACTCTGAAGCATTAAAACGTGACTTCTAATTACTATCTCACTTTGAATAAAAGAATAGACTGTAATAATGGCCGCCACCGTGGATACATACCACGAAGAAGTCGTCAGCGAAGTCGTTGAAGTCGTCGAAGTCGTCCAAGTCGTACAAGTTGAAAATGTAGATTCTGAAAAAGTCCAGGCCGACATTAAGACAGAGGAAATAAAACATGATGAAACTTTCCTTGAATCACAACAGACCGAACAAGCAACAATTGTCAACAACGCAACCACCGACGATATACTGCCCGAAGGTCTGGTCGTCGAAAAATTCGAGCATACTACGTCCACTCGCTCTGTCGAAGAAACACATGCATCAGACCACAAGGATGCTGAAACTGTCGAAACAAATGCTGGCATTGTCGAAGAATCCGATCAAACTGAAGTCACTGAACATGCTGTCAGCGAGACCAGTGAACATCACACCGAGGATCATGTAGAGCATACCGAGGACGAGTCGATTGCCGAAACCGATGGCAAAGAGGAATCCCACGAGGAAACTCACGAAAACAGATCCATCTCTGGTGAATCTGTTGCTACTGAAGGTAAAGAATCCATCAAATCTCCTACCGAACCGCTCACTCCTCCTAAAAGCCCTATTACTGAGGATATCAAGGAAAAAGAACACGAGAAAAAGTCTGCAAAACCCACTGCTTCCTCTAAAATAGCAACAAAAACACGACCAAAACCGGGTGTTACCGGAAAGACTACAACGTCTGCAACAACCACCACTACTAAAACACGTACTCGCAGCCCATCCGTCTCAAAGACTTCGACTCCCGCAAAGTCGACCACCCGTCAAAACAGCAGCTCTACTGCTACAAAGACTGCTACAAAGACTGTAAAACCAACTGTCAGCGCGACTACTACGAAATCTGCAACTGATAGGAAGACTAGCACAACTACTACGCGCCCTAGTACGATAAAGTCACCAAAAACTCCTACGACCTCTGCGACTGCGACAACCACCCCAAAGAGAACAACTAGCGTCGGATCTACGACTTCCACTCATGCCAAGAAGCCCAGCATTTCATCCAGCGTCTCAAAGACAAAAACCACAACCGTCGGTACCAAGCCAACTTCAACAGCAACAAAGCCTGCGGCTAAGGTTACTAATGGTGTTGCAAAGGCATCCGCATCCACGTCGGCTTCTGCTGCCGCCGAAATTCATGGTTATAAAGAAAAGGTAGGTACATCTACCATTTAATGAATAATTTTGTATTTGGTAGAATTTTCATTCCTACGTCTAAAATCCATCTAGATCGATGAACTTCAAAAACTCATAGAGGAAAAGGATAATCTTTTGAAGACCCAAGAAAAAGAACTTGAAACTCTCAAGGCGTCTATAAGCCAGAAATCGCTCGATGGTATATCAGAGGAAGCTCAGATCGATCGCGACGAAGCGCTGTCGAAGGAAGCGGAAATCGAATTGCTTAGGAAAGAAAGGAAAAGATTAGAAGATGAGCTTTCGGTATGTGCCAACTAATAAATTTTGGTGAGCAACACTGCTTTTCTTTTTCTTGGCATGCTTGGAACTAGACACTTGGATTGTCCCATAAACCTTGTTTAGAACCAGAAAGCGACACACGAAGAAATGAAGGCCAAGTATGAGAGCCAGCTTAAAGAGCTTCGTGAGGCAAATTCTAATATTGAAGCAAAAGAGGCCGAATTAACACAAAAGCTTGAAGTTGAAGAAAGCGTTGCACAACAACTTACTGCATTGCGAGTGGAGCTTGAGGTAAGAATCCGATTTCCTGGCAAAGCTTTTCTCCTCGTTGCTTTGTAGTTTTCTTATTCTAAAAACTTGTTGCAAATGGTAAATCCAATTTGCTGTTAATATTTTTCAAATAGAACAAAAACAATGAAATTGAAAGCGTAAAAGAAGCTCATCTGGAAGAGATTAAAAACTTGCAAGAGGCTCATTTAGCTGGTATCAAAGAATTAGAACTCCGGCACGCCAAGGATATTGAGCAGGCACGCGAACACGTGCGCGAGCAAGTTAGCATCGAGTTACAGGTTAGAAGTCGCGCAGAGTCGAAAGGGCTTGTTTTGCTGCTTTAAAAATATACGTCGATGTTTATTTTGTCTTTTTTTTTTTTTTTTTCAGTCTTCCCAGCAGGAGCAGGCCTCAGAAGTGGGCGTCCTCATTGAACAATTTAAAGCCCAGCACGCCAGAGAGCTCAGTGAGAAAGAACAAGCTTACAACGCGCAATTAGAAAAACTCATCAAAGAGCGTGAAGAGTTGATAGAAGCTGCCAAAGAAGATGCTCAAGTACATATGTCTTGCATATTATTACCATGTTTACTCTATTTTCTTTTCTCCCCTTCTGCTTGCTGACAGTTTTGTATTTTGATAGGCAAAACTTCAACACAATGAACAACTCTTGCACCTCGAACGGACGCACGAAGAAGAAGTCAAACAACTCACGTCTAAACTTCAAAGCAAGCATGATGGTGCTGTTCAAGAGCTTGCCGCAGTCAGAGATCAGCATTCCCAAGAAAGAGAAGAACTAATCAAAAAGCATGAGACCGAGATATCTGAGCTCAAAGCACAACACGAAGCTGTGTTGGCTGCAGCCAAAGACGCTGGAGGTAACGATTCGGCTGTCTACGCAAAAGAAATCGAGATCCTAAAAGCCGAGCATGCTAAAGAAGTAGAGACTCTGGTCAAAAAATACGAAGAGCAAACCACAAGGCTAGAGAGTTTGAAACAGGAATATGAAAACTCTGTTGCGGAACTGAAAGAAAAACATGCAAAAGATGTTCAAGAGAAGATGTCCGCTTTCGAGAAAGAAAGTAAGGCTCAAGTAGAAGTCTTGTTGGCAGAAATCGAAAGTTTGAAGAAGACTGCGTCCGAGGACAAGGAGGTCGAAATGGTAAGTAGGGTGTAGGTTTCTGGCGACTCTTTAAGAAAAGACTTTTTGCGCTTTAATATTTCAAACGCTTTGGTCGGTTGCTTTTTTGTCTTGCTGTTATAGAAGAGTTGTTCTGACTTTTTGTTGTATATCGACATTGTAGAAACTTATCGCAAAACACGAAGCCGAAATAAACGAACTAAAGGAGGCTCATGCCAATGAGTTGGAAGAGTTGGTAAAGTCTGATAATGCTTCCTTTGAAGAACTTGAAACATTGCGAAACCAGCTTTCGATTGCCAAAAAACAGAACAATGACTATGAAGATCAGCTGCAGGTACGAGCTATAAATGAGATTTCTTTTTATTTGTCGTTCGTCAGTAGTGTAACATTTGGCGTTGAATACGAAATGGGCACGTGGCTAAGTATAACAATCATGTTACGAATAGGAATTTACCGAGCACATGAATTCTCTTGCTAAGGGACACGCTGATGAGATCCAGTCATTAGTGGCAGAAAATAAGCGGGTGCGAATCTGTTTGATTGTAGGCGATCGTGTTTGGGATACGCTAGCTAACTATATAGATATTTATAATAGAAACATGAAGACGAGATTGAGCAGCTCAAGATAGCTCATGCTGAACAAATGAAGGCATTGGAAGAAGAGACCAACATTGTCAAGAGACAATTTGATGATCTTCTCACGATAAAGGATGCAGAAGTTGATGAGCTCAACAAGCGACTTAAGAGTGTAAGCATCAATTACACGAATAGTTATTGTCAAACTTATAGATTGTTATTTAGTTTGTATTGTCATTTTAGGTTGGAAATGTAGAAGCACTTCACCAAGCGCATAACGCAAAGATTGCCGAACTAGAGGCGCAACACGCACGAGCAATCGAAGAGAGAGATGAAAAGATCAAGAATACTACCATGGAACTTAAATGGATCGAAGAAGAAAACGATCAGCAAGAGGCAAGTTTATAATCAAAGACTTGTTGGTGAAACCAAGCCAGATATTTTCAAATCATCATTTGCTAATACATGTTATATTACTTGTTTGTATATAGGCCAAGATCGAAACACAAAATCAAGAACTCGAGAATTTGCGTGAAAGTAACAAAGCATTAACAAGCGAAATCGAAAAATTGCGAGGAATGATTAGTGGTCATTAGTAGAATGACATAATCGCGCTTGATTATTGTGTATCGGTCATCGTGTCTGCGAAAAGTGGGGATGTGCTATTGGAACCAATTAATATACAAGTGGGAATATTAAAAGTTCCTTCTTTTTCCTTTTCCTTTTTTTTTTCTCCCCTTTTCCCTTTCCAACGCCATATATTGCAAATGTTTTGTCATTGGTAAATAGTTGGCGCTTCCCTTTTTTTATTAAATCATTTCTATAAACCGAATATATTTTTTACTGCTCATTTCTCTAATGGACATTTTTAATCGCATTGTGCTACCCACATATATTCTTATTTTCGTTATCATTTTCAGGTTTTTGGTTCGTTATTGAAAAGAGAATTTGTTGAAAAAAGCTATTGACTTGATTATTCTATTAATGCTTACTTGGACCAAGTATTGCATTCATTTCTTTAGCAACCCCATCCCCATTTCTCGCTTTTTTATCGCATCATTTACATTCCTTTTTTACTCTTCGGTCACTTTAATTAACGAATCTTGCTTTTTATCCAACCCAAATTTTCTCATTCTTCTTCCAGAGTCCCAGCGAATGAATTCGCAATTATTGGGCGGATATTTGAACCCTAGTTTTAAGACTATGGGGATGATACATACTGTCTCAAATGGGAATATGGCGAAGTTTGTTGGGGAGGAATTTTCTCCGCCTGTCTATTATCCTCCCTTTGGTTTCTTTATTTATTGCGGAGTTTGGGTTATAAATATATGTTAGGTTTCTTGTATCTATTTGTTGATTGTTTATTATATTTATAGTTTCAGTGTTAAAATTTGTATTAGTATGTATGGGCTTGTGGGATAGTTTGAAGGATCAGTGAATTTGTACAAGTTAAAACAAAAAGAAAAAAAAAAAGAGTAAGCAAACTCATATATCGCACACTTGTTGGAAATGAGATTATCAATTGATTCGTTGCCATAAACGGCTTTGTAATAATTGAGCAAAGTAGTCAGTGGCTGGATATCTTTTAACCAGTTGTCGATATAGACGTTGTATGGCAGATTACTGAAAGTAGGAGTTTGTTTGCTATCCCGCGATTGTTGACTCGACACTAATAATGATTAAAAGAATTCGTGGCATGGATTCATTCGATTGATTTAATGACGACGTAGTTGTTGTGTATGACTGTCTTTGTACATTGTGTTGTCGTTCTTGTTCTCATCGCCATCACTTGCCGATTACGTATTATGTTATCACGTTACCTTGTTGTTATCACTTTTCCACCTCCAAATCCGGACTGGTGTAACAATCGCATATCAAAAGTCGGACCTTTTGGTATCAATTCCGCTCAGCTTTGTACATGTCCTCATGTTATTACCCACACCTCCAAGAATCACATCCTACACACAGAACAAATACTCATTCTCGTCCTCCCTCTTTATCAACCGGATGACTTGCGTATACGAGACTTTGCACGGACGCGCGCCCCTTCGAAATAACGATAAGAAGAAAAATATCTTTATTGAAATGCACGACGCCTACGACGTGAACACCGGCCACAGCCAGCTAAATGCATGTGCACTCGTAAGAGAGTGGACATGCATTATAACATAGCTATCGTGTGGCCACCAACACAAGCCCGCGGGAAGCGAGTGAGTGAGCGCATGCTCACATACGACTTATGGTGAGCTATTAGATATATGGTCGGGGAGGGTGGAACGCTAACACTTGCGGGTAAACCCATCAAAAGCACGAGTGAGAGCGAAAGCGATAACATGCAGTGAATTAAACGTTATGGATGATAAACTTTACATGATAGTCGAGTACGAGTCACTAACAAATTTCGTTGAACCTATAAACACCTTTCATCACGATTTCTCTATAGAAACGCTTCAGATATCTCAGTTGACAAAGGGTTCCTATAGAGAACCAACAGTACCCGGGCTTTCTGGATATTTCGCTTATGTATTTTTATATTTATATGAAATATGTACTTTATTCGGTAATAAAAGCACAGTAAAGACCTCAAAACTCTTAACACTCGTGATTGATTGGAACGACGCGGGGCTTCAATGATACTCACACTCAAGATTGTCGCGGGGAAAACCAAAGCGGCTATTATTGCAAGCCTGATGGCGCACGGGGCAGGCGACTAATTGTGTTTGAACCTAATTTTCGTTTTTCGAAACAGTTCAGTACTTGGGTTACTAATATAGAAGAAACTTTACGAGATAATGTTATACATATTTTAGATACTTTGAGTGTCAGACGCGAATGTTTGTTTATAGGTTTTATATTTAATGCTATCGTTTGCTGGCGAAAAGAATGAAATAAAAACGTATGTTTGTGTGTTGCGGAAATAATAATAAAGCTGGGGGTTTGCCTTTCTGGCAATCACGATTTGATGACACAAGTCACCACCACCTATCGCCACCGGGAAAGCGGTTGGGGGAATACCTACATATAACAAAACACCCTTACCCTATAACGAAGAAAAAGGGCGGAACGGACCCACATCATTATATTCAGGTCACTGTGTACTATTTTTCGTGTAGAAAAGCGATAGTTCCTCGCGATAATTAAGTGTAGAAAATCATATTATATTCGATTACATTACTAGTTACATAACCACTATACTGGATAATGCAATCTTAAATTCTAACCTAAATATTTTTTGAATCTTGCGTATTTTTCTTCGCCGTACTAATTTCTGTACGGGTCTATCACATACACAGGAAGTGATAATTTACTCAGGGACGCAAACCGGTGATAAGGGATATATCACTTTTTGGGGTCATTGCTGGAAGAATTTCTCATCAGTGTTTATGTTGCGGTTTGGACTGAAGAGTAACACTGGAAGAGAAAAACGTAGTTTATCGGTGGTGTATTAGTATAACGGATTTATACAAACAATAAATCGGAAAACTACGCAACGAAAGAGTTCGATGAACGAACGTATTCGAAGCACATTCTAAACGTCAAGAGAAAAGATGGTCAATAGACGGAATTTCGAATATTATAAAAATGAAATATCTATTATCTTCGAGACCCCATACAATATACATACATTGAAATACGATCCACTTACCCAGATAGACAAGGCAACTACCCACTGCCGGTTACCGTTACCATCCAAGTCAACATTTCCGAAAAAAGAAAAGGGAGATCACGTTGTCATAAAAATAATACGGTGAATTAACAAACGCAGCAAGACAGAAAACAGATCGAAAGAAAGAATCGTAAGACAAAGTGCTTGAAATCTTTTAGACGTTCGTTGTTCTTCCCAGTCATTGTTGTCATTGTATCAGCTTCGTGGAGATTAAACAAGAATGAAAGAGCAGATAATCCAAATTATACAGAGAATTTGATAACTAATGAAGATAGTGGCAGAAAAAGGCAGGGAAAGAGAATCAAAAGAGAGAAGTTGCTGAATAGCTGGCTAACGATGAATGCGGCACCCTGCGACAAAACAAACGAGTATTAAAATACAAATCGGAACATTTCGTACAATTGACGTATGCTTGAACACCGTTCCAAACCCACCACAGCAACATAACCATACGTACGCATTCAGCAACCTCCTTGCCGCTCTGATAACATCGGTTAGTGCATAAAAACTAGTGTCATCTTGCGCGAACAATGCACATGGCTAACTGTTCAACATAGCCCCAACGGCCAATTCTTCCTTTGCTCCACCTCCGCCATCCCGTTTTTCATCTGCACCCTTGTAAGTATTGGCTCCGTAACTACGCTAACATCAGTCACTGCACTACAAATGCTTGCGTGTTAGCTGCGTTCAAAGAACTACTGAAGTAACATACGACTTCTCCGTATTCTTGAAATATTTCAATCATCTAGAGTTGTAGAGGGAGTGCATTCAGCGAAAAGCTAGACGCGTAGTGGAATGTCGTCGACTTCTTTAAGGTGAGATCGGATAGAGTCGACACTCGTCGGAGGCAAGCTTTGATGTCGTGCGTTTTACGATAAGAAGACAAATGTGCGCGTCACCAGGGAAGGATAGAAGTATACAACTGTTCCAATCGGTCTGGAGATCGGCGTAAGTTTTTCGTATTCGTAAAGTTTATGTGGCGTTGAGGTCAGGATCGAAACTTTTATAGGCTATTTGGAGATTGATAAATAGCATTACCTTTGACCTCGCGTTCTGCTATCGGTGAGAAGTAAACAAATTTAATACCCGCTAATTTGAGATCCTCAATAAATCCTAACATATACAACAAAAAAGAGAACTCAGCTCGTTGCCCTGCGTTCCTTAAATTGTAACTTCCTCCTCCATTACTTTGTTCCAAAAGACATTATAATTACCACTTTTGGTTCATGACTTAATGTTGCCATACTTAAAAATATCTGTCCGTTTATCACTTCCTCATAGAACTTTTATTCATCGACATGCGTGACTTGATCGTCGAATACAGAATCATGAAGATTAGCTTCCAGTTGACAGAAGATTTCTCCGTTTGATAAGTTGCGAGCTGGAGAGGTCGGTTGGTGTGGTAGAGAGGAAAGGAGTATAGAGATACTGATTGAGACGTTACAGTCGGATGGCGCATATATGACATAATCTTCGGGTGAGGGTGGTAGCATGATAAACGCAATGTCAGAAGACAATGAGGGGGTCACTTTCGGTATTTATTGGACGGTAGGCATAGGCTATGGAGGTCGTTTACAATGGCGAAATCGGATCCATCTAATAGACGTTGTAAATTACCCATTGTTCAGTATATCTAACAACATTGCTTAATACATGCATGCTTGGAGTATGTAAAATACCATTTAATCTCGTTCCCATAAAAATCTTGTACTCACCGTTTTATAGGTTTTAATCCTAATAATCAGAGCAGGGTCCTTCCTCTTCATATATCAACGAAACCATAACTGGTAATCATCACGTACGCGTTCGAGTAGTGATGGACGATAAGGAGCAAAAGCGACAAATGTCTGAAGAGCATCGTCAGTGAATCCTATTTCCTTGCCTAATTGGCATAATTTGTGAAATAAATAAGGTAAACGCTTAGAATCGTACATTGTCTGGTTGTTTTAGTTTTGGCATAGTAGAACTGGTTCCGAAACCGGTCCTCAGAGAACTTGTGCATCCTGCGGCCTTGACATGATTTTTGAGTATTAGTATTTAGTTGGCTATTGTGGTCTCATTCGATCTAATTGCACAGACAGTATCGGAGGTTATCTCCTACAGAAAAACCAATCATCCACGATAAAATTATTTTATAAATGTCATGGTTATAAATGAACATTGATCATTCAAGCGGGGTAGGCCCCAGTTCCAAGTCACCCTGGCTCAGATGTTTCAGAAGGATGTTGGTGCTGCGTTATGGTCTCTGTCAATCTCAAAACCGCATTCATTGCACTTGTAAACCTAAATCATTCTTGACATATTCACAACGCCCGCGTCTTGGATGTGCCAATGCTCGTTACAGAAATTCAACAATCTTCCTGGATATTCCCTAATCTTATGCATCAAATGTTTTCGCAATTGGTGACGTGACGGTGTCAACATCATCCTCGCAGTCTTGCTTTGTCTCGAATATGGGTAACAAGATGACTTTGTAATCATCACACAGCTCTCGCAATCTTCTGATGGCAATGGTTTGGACATTGACCAGTAGTCGCAACATCTTACGTTTCAACATGTGTTGTTTGAAGAACTTTTACTGACAGATTTTTTGCTTTGGTATCTATCACACCTACGTTGGTCGCAAGTAAACGTGCAATAAATATGGTTTAACATTATGATGCAGTTGTGGAGTGATTGACAATTGTTAAATGATCTGGCGAAATGTAACGCGCATTGTTTTGCCACAAATGAAAGAGCCATCACTAGTAAGCTATACAAGTTGCGATCAAGTGCAATGTGCGTTGTCTGCAAGAAAAGCGAGCACGATAGGGCAATACACGTAGTAAACCCACTACGACCGATGGAAAGACTCAGAATGTGTAGCAGACATTTCAAATAACATAGGAACCCAACCTCCGGGGAAACTGGCGGAATAATTCGACTAATATTTCCCATATTAAAATTACGGCGCGTACACATATGGATTCCGACTCGGCAGAAAATATTGTTAGAGTTGTTGGATCGACTTGTGCACAGAAATGTAGATTTGCTAAGATGCATTTATTAAAGTACTTGCACTCTTTTCACCAAAGTTTAATAGCCCAACCAAGCAGACGCGATCGACGTCCTACAGTCTGTTGGGCATCATTTCATGTCATTTCCTCACCCCGACGATTTCAAACTAATGATCCATACGCTAAGGAGCAAATCAGTTGTTCTGGACAATTCGTGCGTCTCATGCATTGTCGGGAATTTCTTGATATTCTTGTTGAGAAGCGAGTTGCTTGTAATAGCTCCACACAACCAAATTGAAATGCAACTAAAATTTTAATATATATAAAATAATTAGACAAGTTATTGTGAATAAGAGAAATGAAACATTTGATGTCTTGTTATACACAAATGTCAAGTAAAAGTATTAAAGATCCTACCTGAAGCAGCCACCAAAGAGTAGCAGTTATAGTGAACGCAACCACTGTACGGACTTCGTCTGAACAGTCATCCAATTTTGAGCAATCGTCAGAAACAGTCAAGGAAAGGATAACAGTTTCGAATACGATTGACGAAAGAAGCAAGACGATGTAGCTCCAGTAAAATACGGCAAAGACTTTGACGAGTTTGAAATTATTCTGAGTTGGAAGGAAAGAAGAGCGTGCAAAGAGAAGAGATTGGGTCAGCGCGTGAAAATAACTTTGACCATAGATGGCATAGTATGGAGTGCCGGCCTTATGCATTAATAGTATCCAATACCTTCTGAACGCCATAAAACCCGGAAAAGCAGAGTAATGCAGCAACCAAATAGAAAATAGTCAAGAAAATGGTAAGCCCGCGTCCTTCATCGGCAATCGGTCTAGCAACGGCAGCCAGTAAGTTGAGCACCTGCAGTAAAAGCAGAAGGAGTGAGTGTACGCCGTAGCAGTCTATATCGTACGAGAGTTTCTATGGTTATATGGTACCGTGCCCAGAATGGCCAATGTCTGAGTTGCTGGTCTTTGAGAGTTTTTATAGAGCTTTTGAGTTTAATATCAAGACTTGTTACAAGAACAGGACGTCAACTTATTTTTTACCTCAAGTCAACGCAAAAAAGACACTTTTCAACCATTGTTTGAGCAGTAAACCGACAAGGTGACGAATTCCCGACTGTATAAGAATACGGACATTTTTCACACGGGGTTAGATTACGTAGATTGCAGGGGTCAGAATAGTAACACTGACATTCCCATGATCCAATAGACTGTGGTTATTTTAACACGTAATAATAATAATAATAATGCGACCCGTTCTGGGATTTGACTCATTCTGAAAACGGGTCAAACCGTTTTTGCGACGTTATCACACACATTGTGTACTTTATTGGTGCAAGAGATTATTCTAACGTGACAATCCCGAAACGGGTCAACAACAACAACAACAACAATAGGGCATGTTGTAACAAAACCAGACAAGTGAACATTTTATAATAATAAGGCTGATTATTGTTGTTGTTGTTGTTGTTGTTGTTGTTGTTGTTGTTGTTGTTGTTGTTGTTGTTGTTGTTGTTGTTGTTGT